TAAAGTTGACTTGATAATGAGAAAATTATGTGCTCTTTAATGTTACTTACATTAAACAGTAAAATACAGTACAATCATCCCTGTGTATCCATGAGTTCCACATCTGTGAGTTTAATCAACCATGGATCAAAAATATTTGAAAAAAAAAACTATCTGTACTGAACATGTACAGATTTTATTTTCATATTATTCTCTCAACACAATATAACAACTATGTGTCTAGTATTTATATTAAGTAGTATAAGTAATCTAGAGGTGATTTAAAGTATATAGGAGGATGTGCATAGGTGATATACAAATACTATACCATTTTATATAAGGTATTTTAGCATCTGTGGATTTTATCTGTAGGAGTCCTAGAACTCTGAGGGATGAAAGTATTAGGCTTTTCAATTTAGAGTATTTAAACGATAATTTGCAAAGCAATTGGAAGAAATTTTATGATAAATAAATTATTACAAGTAGATAAAAAGTAAAACGTTCTCTCTCTTGAAAAATCCGTGTTGACATTGGTGGAGCCACATTGCCATTACAGCACTGGGTTCTATCTTTGGGGCTGAAATACTGTATATCATCTTGATATATTTTATCAATGAAAAACTTTCATTTCGTAAATCTTAATAAATTGGCAATGAACTTCTGTGGTGAGAGAATATTTTTTTCTCCTTTTTTTACATTGTGATTTACAGCATGACCTTTGTGGGTGCCATGCTCCTAACACATTGATTTTAATGGTTTCATGCAGCCTGTCCTTACATCATGAACATAAATACTCCCATTCTACTATCAATAAATATGTATTTCTTGTATGACATATTTGCAATAAATCTTGAAAATCTGTTTTTTTTTCCTTTGAAGAAAAATATCCTTGTTGCACAATAGCTAGGACCAATAATTTCCAGACTGGGATTTCATAGACCAGAAAAATTACCAAGCTTTTGGAGGAAATGACATAGAGTTGTCAAATATTTTCTTTTGACAAATAAAGACACTACAAGGGAAAAAAATCCCCTAGAAACTATTATTGGGATCATTTCATGAAAGCATATTTTTATTGTTAATATATAGGTTAATCAATATAAATTATGGATTTATTTTGCTTTTCTTATATCCTACTTTTTCTGTCTAGATTTAATATCAATCTTTAAAATTACATCTTTCAGTAGTTACTTCATTGAAAATCTGTGGGTAGCTAATTCTGTTAGTCATGGAGATAGTAACATAGTCAATAAGGGATAAGTCTGGAGTACAATTTCTGGGCTTGAATCCCAGTTTGGCTACAAACTAGCTATGTGAACTTGGGCAAGTACTTGGCCTCCCTGTATCTTAGTTTCATAATAATAGTATTATTACCAAAGTAGTATTAATGCTATTTCATAATAATAGTATCTACATAAGAGGATTATTGTCTGGATGATGAGTTAAAATATATAACACATTTAGAATAATACAAGTTATACAACTATATTATGTAAGTGCTTGGTATTATTATTTTGCATATATCTGAAAATGCCCACATTTTGACCCTTATTCTTTATTATAGTTTACTTTAGCATAAAATTCAGTGTTGACCATTATTCCCTTCATCATTTTTTATATTACTCCAGGATATTCTTGCATCTATTGTTGTGGATGAAAAGTCCACTGAGATTGAAAAGTCTTGTAAAATTGTACTTTATCCCTGATAAAGGTTTTCTCATTATGTGTGACATTCTGTCGTTTCACTATTATGTGTCTATGTGTTCAAAATTCAGTTTTTCCTTCAAATTGAAAACTCACATCTTTAATTCTAGAAAATTCTCAATCATTGTGTAACTTAGGACTATATCCTGCTGCAGGTGATGACCCCCCCCCCAATTATAGTAGTTTATATGAGATAGAACTTTATTTCTTTCCTCACACAAATTAGGTCATCCAGGTAGTGTCTGATGATGTCAGAGGCCCAAGGACCCTTTTTATTATTCCTTTTCAGCAAGATGGCTAAACCTTAAACCATCACATCTACATTCCAGATATTAGGAAGGGAAAAATGCAGAGAGGGGCCTATCTTCTCCCTTCAAAGACATTTTTGGAAGTTACCCATACTGTTCTGGTTATATTCCAGAATAGTCAAATGGTCAGCCTAGCTGCAAGGGAAGCTGAGAAATACTTCCTTTATTCTGGTCCAACAAATTTCCAGCTAAAAATAGGTGATTTTATCAATAAGGAGAATCTCGGTATTAGGCAATAAGCAGTGTCTCTGTCATAGCTTTTTATTTCAAAAATTTCTTTCTCATGCTCCCTTTATTATTATTATCCTTCTGAAACTCACAGCAGTATCTGTGTATCTTCTCTTTAATGTATGTCTGAAAATACCCATATTTTGCCCTCACTTTGAATTACCCTAAAAGTTAGGAAACAGCACATTGAATAGCCAATCAGTCATCTCTCCCTGTTCTCCTGCTTGTGTTAAGCAATGTGAAGCAATGGCAGAAGCTGAATCATACCATAGGGAGGAAGAGGAAAGGTAGCTCCTGCCTAAGAGGATCAAAGAGCCCATCAGTCAAATTATCCTCAGATCCCATCTGTCTACATATTGTAACACAGAGTCAAGTTACAGTCAATAGAAACAGGTTACACTGATAATGATCTAGAAATCTCATAATTAGTAAAGAATATACAACCAAGAACCACCAACCATTTGGGAAAAAAGTATAAGAGCAAGAGCACAAGGCATCAACAAAGATTAATTCTGTTAATCAACAAAGATTAACAGAATTAAGGGAACAAACAAAAGGCAACATAACTATAATATTCAAAGTGGAGTAAGAGGGGCTATCATATCCATAATATAGGAAGATTCCTAGATACTGAGAAAACATGTATAGATCTTAAAAGTATTCAAGGTTCAATAGATGGTCTCTAAATTTCAACAGATAGTCTGGCATAAGAATAAATGTGGCTGAAAAGCAAGTTAGCAGAAAACCAGTATCAAGGGAATTCTTGCATCATTTAGTACAAAGTAACATAAGAAAGACAATGAACATCAAGAGACTTAGTAGATCCAAATATTCCAACATTCAGCTAATACCTATTGCAAAAGTAGAGAACAGTTGCAAGCATGAGGACCCAAGTTCGATCCCCAGTACCAAAAAAAAAAAAAAAAAAAAAAGAATAGAGAAGAGAGAAAAGGGAGGGGATGGGAATAACAGGAAAGATAACACAAAATTTCCTAGAATGGAAGAAAGATAAGAATCTTCAAAGCCAGGTGTGGTGGCACACACCTGTAATTCCAGCACTAGGGATGTTGAGGCAGGGCCACATAGTAAGTTCAAAGCCAGCCTGAACTACAAAGCAAGACCCTGTCTCAAAAAACAACAACAGAAACCCAAAACAACAAAAAAAGAATCTTCAGGGACTGAGCGCAGTGGTAGATCATGTGCTTAGTATGAGGAGGCTCTGTATATAATTCCCAGAAACACACACACACACACACACACACACACACACACACACATAAAAGAAAAGGAAATAAAGAGGAAGGATCTTTCTAAATTGAGAGTGTTTAAATTTTATTATTTCTAGTTATGAGATTTTAACCACTCTTTGTACTGCAGACTCTTACTCAGTTATTCTTCTTTATATGATTTGTAATTTTTGTTTGAGACCTTATTTTTAGCAGAGATTGTTTTTTCTGTGGATTACGGAAATATCTCTCTATGGAGTTTTGCATTTGTTTTTATCAGACACCTCAGAGGTATCACTAGCAGGATTTTATGCTAATTTTGTGTCCTATGGGAAGTCCTACATGTAAATTCATATCCCAAACTGAAATGTGGTACAAGATTAGGGTTTTAATTTCTCACAAAGAGTTTATTCACCACCTATAGCTCCAGGCAGAAGCAAGCTTTCTTGCTGTCTTCCTGGCTGTAAATGTAATGTACTGTACCTTTTATTGATAGGCCAGTCATTTTTAGCATTATACAAGCTTTAATTCTCTCTGTCTCTACTTTGGAGACCGTACAGTTTCATTTCTGTTCAAATGTGCACTGAAATTCAATCCCCTAACCTTTAAGACCTTTTCCAAATCTCCTTTCAACCTTTCCCTTTTCTTCTCCTCACATCAAAACTTGTATTCTATTTGTTCCAGCTATATAGCAGTACATCTATACCATGGAAGATTGTAAAGCTATAAAATAAAAGGTAGTCTGCATGTATTGATTAGGCAAGATCTCCAAGACAGATAGAGAAATTAGCAAGTCCCCCCCCCCACACACACTTTTTTTGCAAGTACTGGGTATTGAATCCAGGACCTTGCACATGCTAGGCAAGTACTCTACCCCTGAGCTATATCTCCAGGCCAAGTTCTCTGTTTTGAAACATGAAAGTTTTACTGTTTTATGAGCCAAGAACTAGAAGTCTCTGACACACAAATATAAGGCATTAATGGCACTTATTCTTTTGTAGTATATTAAAATTTCTTTAGTGGAGGGAGGATAAAATGATAAAGGCATAGTGTAGCCTTATCAATATCACAAATAGTGAGAAACTGATATATTGCCATGGAAATTTATACTCTTTATAGTAAAGAAGTATTCCACTTCAACTTGCATACAACATAACATATCTTATAGTGGATACATCATAGCATATCAAACATATCAAATTAAATAGCTGGTAGAATTAATCTTTACCAAACTTGACCAAATGGTAGGTTGAGTTAGCATTAGAAGTCAGTAAAACAAAAAACAATTTGCGAAATATTTTAATATTCTAAGTATCCATCATCTTTTTGACAAATATTTTTAGATTTTTTTTGCACTCTTAATTGTATATAGAAGAGTTCTAAGCTTTAAAATAAGGAGGAAAACTTACAGAACATAATCCTTAAATTTTAATTTTAGTAATTGTGATAATGATTATTTTGTCAACTTACTGATCATTGTACATAATCTCATGATCAGGCCAGGGATTTAGCTTAGTGGTTTCGCCACCTGCTGCGCAAGCGCAAGGACCCGAGCAAGGACCCGAGTTCGATCCCTGGTACTAAAAAAAACAAAAACAAACAAGAAAACCCCTGCAAAACACACATAATCTCATGATCAATAATCTTATGAAGTTGCTATTTTGCTAACGTTATTGATGAGAAAACTGAAGTCTAGAGAGGTTAAGTAACTTATCCCCACTTACACAGCTCATATGATGTAGAGCCAACATTCTAAAAACCAGTTTGTTTTGATTTCAGAACCTTAATGACCAATAAGGCTTCTCCTTCAAAAGTTTATACGTGTTAGTAATGTTCACTGTATGCAAAACTAGGTTTTTTTTAATAAATTATGTTATGAAATAATGTCTTATAATCTATCTCATTGGATATCACTATTAAAATGTGGTTTGAATTTGCCTTTTCTCCCCTCTTTCCTATTTATGTAAACTACATATTTTGGGTTTTTTGATAACAAAAGCAAGTGCCAGCACCTCAATAATGATTATGAAATTTCCCTACATTCCAGGGATTGTGTTTTTATCTGAAAAAGGTAACTTATCCTGATTTTTTATTGATGGATTTAAAGGCTTATGTCTGGTGAGAAGAGAATGTCCTAGAGTTGTCTGAAAGATGCCTGCAATCTTCTCCCTTTTCTCAGGGCTTCTGGGGTGTGACTTGGCTGTTTGTCTGCCGTCTGTTTCTGATAAGTGAGTTTTAAGTCTCTAACAGCTCTTGGGAATTTTGTTGGCAGAGACCTGGTGAGATCATTCTGCTTCCTGCCGAATTTCCTTTCTCTGTTTTTTTTGACTGTTCTGATGAACATGACCCCAGAGCATTCAATAATACCTCTGTTCCCGTAGGAACTATTGGCCTACTCCCTGGTTTTATCTCTCTCTGCACAAAAGCTCCATGTCTCTGGAAAGGAAAACAAAGTTGACATTAACTGGGGGAACGCACATTGCTGGAAGATGGAACTGAGTTTGTGGGGTAGCTCAAGTTCTGTTGATGTAGGCACTTATTTCTGCCTCTTCACTGGCTGTCACCTTAGTCCAAAACTGCAGACACCACCATAGTAACTACTGATGAAGTAAACAAGTTACAAAACAGGATACACCAGTAAATGAGCAGGAAGGAAAAAAAGCAGAAATTCAAAAAAGGCATCATTTCATTATCTCCCATTTCTCAACTTTTCTATCATTTGGATTGTGTAAGACATATTAAATTTTATTTTTTGCTGTATAGGTTGCTATGGATACAACAGAAACAATTCTGAGACCAAAGAATGTATGATTGCTTTCCAAATGTCTATTAGTTTCAACAAAAGGCATAGTTACCATGAAATGTGAAAGCAAACATCTGTAGGTGAAAAAATCCAACAACAGACTATGCATTTCTATTTGGCTTTATAAACCTTGTATAAATCTCCTGCCACACAAAAATTTATCAAACTGCTTTGATATTACCTTAACCAAATAATGTTAATAATTTAAGTAAACCAAATCTCCGAACTCTGATTCAAAATGATGACATCATTCCTTGATTTTTACTATGGGATGTAGCTGAGATTCTATCATATTAATAACAGTGTTTGTTTGTTTAAACAGACTTTTATGAAGATGATTATGATTTGAAAAGGCTTAAAGTTCTACCATAAATCTGTCCTGAAGTATTAAATAATTCTAAAGAATGTCTCACCTTTCCCGGGATGGGCTCATTGGGAGAATTTCTGGTATCATATTGATGTATAAAAGAGATGTATTTGATAAAATTGTTTTGAAGTTCTGCTGATGCATCTGGACAGGCAAGTGGCACTAAGAAAAAGAAAAGAGATTTTTGTAAAGTTAGGAAATAATTAGATTTATCTATGGAAATATAATTGACATTCCTAATATTCATGGTTTATAAAAATGCCCAAGATGAAATTCAGGTACACAAGTTTACTTACCCACACCTAGATAATAAATGTAATGGATATACCATTATTTCTCCATGAAAATAACCAAGCCAAAACAATCAAATTAGTCTCACATGTGGAATGATTGATATTTTATACTAATATTAATATAATAATATTAAAAGCTATTTGCCTTAATATGTTACTTTTTTACACGGATATGGATGTTTTAGGGAAAACTTAAGTATAATTTGTTTGTCAAATTATTTTTTACTTCTGGAAAGAACATGAGAAATTTTATGCAGAATCTATACTTGTGGTCAAGCAGTAACGTAGTGGATAAGGAATTCTATACTAAAGTTGCTCCCAGGAGTACCACAGAATGAACTAGAACACAATAAACTACTGCAGTTGTAGATGAACACACAATACTTTTCATTTCACCCAATAACATAAGTTTTGAACATTTGCCACAAGTATTAAGCCCTTTAAAATCACTTTTGAATAACTTTTTCATTCTGAGTGATAAGTATATAGATGTTCATTATATTGGTCTTTCCCATATACATGTTTAAAATTTTTAATTTTAAGAACACACTTTAGTTTTACTTTTAGCAGGCAGTTAACGAATCACAGCAATTTCCAACTGAGACTGACAGTCAAAGTCAATGAAGTAATTCTGTCAAGGTAAAAATGTTTAAACTCTTTTTTTAAGGTTTTTAAAAATTCATTAATTTTATTAGTACATTTTAGATATAAAATATGCTGACATTCATTACCGGAAGTTTGTACCTTTACATAGTATATCTTGGTTCTTATTTTTTCCCCCATTCCCCTACCCTCTCTCCAACTCCTTCACCCCTCTCTATTTACAAAGACTTTGTTTCCATTTTTTCCTTTTCTCATATTTATTCCTTTCCTTTCTTTCCTTGAAATAATAGGGACATAACAGTTTATATATAACAGTTGATATATAATAACTGGCAACAATTGTTACTGCAGGGGAGAGAATTCAGTAACTGAACAGAGGCAGAGAGAGCTGGATTCATTTTTCATTGTATATCCTTTTTTATCATTTGAATTTTGTACCATATTCATATATTAGCTATTAAAAATTAAATACAATTTAATTTAAAATCACACTTTTAAAATAAGCCATAATATATATGACAGATAAATATGTTAGTACATAATATTATGCATTAGGCATTCATGGATTCAAAGTGATATTCATATGTTAATATAAATTAATTTTACTAGCAAAAATGATGAGTATCAAATGTTTAAATATTATATGATATTGATCACTGCTCCTAGGACTAAGAAGCAGAGCTGCCCCCAGTGCAGAGGAGGTGAAACTTCTGGGCCACATACCACCCCCCCCCAGCCCCGAGGAGCAGAGGTGCCCCTACCTTAGAGGAGGTGAGCCATGTGGGCACCAGCAACACATATCCCCCCCACCCCCCATGCCAGTTGAAATGAGAGGATACTTAAACAAGTCTCAAAACCAGACTCCCAGATCACCTACAGCAATTCCAAAGGAAAATGAGATGGAACAATCCCATATTCAACCACCTGGACTCCCTGAACTGGCAACAAAAGAGGATCTGGAAAAAATGAAATCAGAAGTAATTTCTCAGATAACAACAGATATTGTGCCCATAGTGCAAGACATGATTAATAAATCTAGAGAGGACACAGATACAAAATAGAGGAAGTGAGGAACATGATGGAATCCCAACATAGGAAACAAATGGAATCCATAAAACAGATCCAAACAGATTTCCAGGGGATTAAAAACTCCATCAAAAGTCTGCGCAGCAGAATGAACCAATGTGAGGATAGAATTTCAGATATAAAAGATAAGACTGCAATTAGTGGCCAGGAAAAGAAAAAATTTCTATAAAATTATAGGGGACCACAAGAAATCAATCCAGCAGCTGCTACACAAGGCAAAGAAGAATAATATAAGACTGATCAGAATCAATGAAGAAGCAGGAGAGAGTGCAGATGACATAAAAAAAAGTGTTCACAGAAGTGATGGCAGAAAACTTCCCAAGCAGGGGAAAAGAACTTGACATACAGATAAGTGAGG